GATGGAGGGCCCTGCATCTCCCCAAAATAAAGGCCTGAACTGATGAGATGCCGAATCCGTCCTGTTAGCGAGTTCTGTCAATTCCCCCTGTAGTCGATGGGCATTGGGGACGTTTGGCATTCATGGGAATTGCTGAATACCTTGCTGGATTGGGCCCTGGGTGGCACCAGGTTCATTAAGCACGGGGGGCTTTTTTCTTTAAGGCTGAAGAGCAGTCAGCAGAATTTTGAAGTAAGTCAGGCTCTGATTTTTACTTCTTGTGGAGAAATCCTAACAAAGTAGTTGTGGCTGCACAATTAGTTGCTCATCATTTCTGCCTTGTTTCAAATTCTGTGATTACATGTCTCAGCTAAGGGACTTGGATATCCCCTTCTCCCAAGGAAACTTGTGTCAGAGCTGTACGAAAAGGTAGGACTTTCTCATTAGTGGCCGACGTGATTTTAGCGCTGAGCAGATCTTTGGTGAATAGATGTCATCTGTTCTTCGCATTTTAGCTGTGGTTTTGTGCGTGAAATGCTGTTGACTGGAATAATTTTCATCCTGCGCTTCCTGGCTGCTTCTGGCAAAGCCATACCCCGTGCAGCGCTTTAGAGTGAAAGATCTAAATATTTCTATTAGCAGAAGCGTGTTAAATTTCTTGTGTGGCATTGGCATAATGGGCTGGCGTGAAGCAGGCAGACGCTGGACCAAAGGAAGTAGTCGGCTTGTGAAAAGATAGGAACAATTTCAGCTCTCTGAACTGGTATCTCCTTGAATTCATCCATGAATATTCGTCAAGTTTAGCACTTTGCTGCTGTGTATTTAATGGCTGCTTAGGTTTGGCTAGGGTCCGTCAGAGTGGCTGAGGAGGGTGAGTTTGAATTTACATCTCCTTTGCATCTCAGAGGTGTATGAATTAATCTGGGAGAGAATGATCTGCATCTTTGCAGATCAAGATGGGTTAACAAAATTGATTAGAAATTGATTTATTTGTAATGAGTGCAGTTAAATACCTGACATCATACTCCTTTCTAAAGACCGTTCTACCCAAAGGTTTGGTAACAGTAACTCTTGGATACCTAGAAATTGATCTGTTTCTAGTTAAAATGTCAGTGCATATCAAATGGATATGAAATAAACCCTTGTCTGTAGCTGCTGTGCTGTTAAGAGGTTATTCATAGCTGCATTTTAATCCTATCTCCTTAAACAAAAGTTTTGAAAGTAAATTTGGAAATAAAATGCTGTAAGCTAGTTTATGGTTGGACTTAGAGAGTGCTGAGGCCCTTGGTATGATTTTTAATTACATGGGCATGGAAAATGTTCGGTTTTTGAGAAAGCCGCGTTGCAGGAGTTGAGGCTCGAGATGTGGAGGGTAAATTTAACATAAACTGCACTTGGCACGCAAGGACTATTGAAAGCGATGTGTAAAGCAAATTTAACCTTGAGAAATTTCAAACTCTGTAACTCAGAAAGAAATGAGGCTTCTTAAGGTTTCTGCACAGATCTTGACAACCTAAGCTGTCTTTCTAACTATGTGCTTGTGGACAGCTGTACAGAGACAGTAGGTATATGAAATAGAGTTTTGAGACAATGTGCAGCCAAAGTACTGGTACTACATAAAGGATACAAACTTCCTAATTATTTCCCCCCCACCACCAAGAGTTCCTTATTTCTCCAGTTCTAATCTAATCAGTCTCGAGGTCTGCCTGTCGTGGCTGGGATTTTGCATCCCACTGTACGTGCCATTCCACTCCCCTTGAGGTGTGAATTGGTTTTCCTCCTCTGAGACCGAAATATTAACTGGCCGTTCAGTCCCCGTTCCCTTTTGCCAGGCTGAAGTAGAACTATTTCTCATATTTAAGCCGAAAGGCACGTAAAAGCCTTAAAGCTGTCAGTCTGTAGGCTCAGGATAACACCAGGGCAAATGGGAGACGTTGCTTAATACCCAGGTTAAGTGTAGGATAACTCCGATGCTTTCGGCTTCCAGCGAGGGAAGGAGGGGGCATCTCTCCGGAGCACCTCCTGCCGCACGTCTGCGGTGGCAGGGACGGGCAGGAGAGCAGCTGCTGGTACGGGGGGCTCGGGGGGAGGAAGATGGACACTGGGGAGGAAGGATGCGTGGCAATGACCTTCCAACCTGGCGCAGGACAGCCTATTTCCTGAGCTTGCTGACTCAAGGGTACAGTGAGCCCTCCCCATGCGTGTCCTTGGTTGGGATTGGGCAAGAGAGAGGGAAACAGTGGTCAGCCACCTCAAATTTGCTGGGAAACGTGCAAAACTTGAAACCTGACATGAGATTTTTGGTGTGAGTCTGGGAACTTATTGCTGGATCTCAATCAAGCCGTAGCTTGACTACCGAAAAGGAAGGAAAAGCGTGAAGGTTTTCGGTGTTGAGGGTTTGGTTTTTTTTAATTTTTTTTCCTATTGGCAAGTATTATCTTTACACAGAACGCCTTTAGAGTATCTTAGGTGCAGTAAGCAAGAGCTCTTTCGGCTATCTTGCAATTAGTTTATATCGCTTTCAAATGACCACCACTAGACTGAAAGGTCAACCTTGACCCTGGTTTATTCCGTGCCAGTATCGCCTGCTTAAAATCTCCAGTGGTGGTCACCCCTTTCCCCTCCTTGAGGACTTGGCTGTTTATTGACAAAAACAACCCTTCTGAAATCCCAACTCCTCGGATTTTTTTCAGGGAAGACCTAGTTGTGTGAGCCTCATTCTGCCCCCTGAAAAACTCCTTTTGCATTAATGGAGAAAGAGCAGGAGACGGTCTTTTACGACACATTCTGCCGAGCAGGGCCTGATCCGACCACTGGCACGTAAGAGGATTTTGGTATCCCTGGACTCCAGGGGAGTTGCATGCCGGGTGGGATGCAACCCCGTCTGCAGGTGGTGGAATTGGGCCCCTGCAACAGAACTCCATGTTATTTTATTATTATTGTGAGGTCTCCAAACTTCTCTTGCCTCATGTGTTTCTTGATAAGGAATGATCTCTGAAGGCAGTGTTCTGATAACAGTGTAAGGCTCTGCATTTCCCATCTGAATTCATGACATTTATTTTTTTATTTTTATCATTCTTTGCTTTCCTGTATGCAAGGAGCCAGTAATGTAAACAAACATCACATCCCTTGCATAACTGTCTCTGACACCAAACCTCTGAAAATTCTTTTAGTACATCCAGAATACGTGGGCAAAGGCTGCAGAATAAACATAATCTTTCTACGTGTTAAAAGCTCTTTTTTTTTTTTTTTTTTCATCCTGGTTGCAAACTAAGCATTGACTACTGTCTTGATTTTACAGATTATTTCATGCTGAAATTATGCCTACTTGAAACATAAAGGAAAATAGCCACATGACTAAAAATGAAAAATGTATGGGAGCCTAAATATACTAGGTACACCTAAAAGTTACCAAATAAAAAAATCTTTTTTTTTTTTTTTTTTTTCATCCTGGTTGCAAACTAAGCATTGACTACTGTCTTGATTTTACAGATTATTTCATGCTGAAATTATGCCTATTTGCATGGATAGTCATTCTTTAAAACTAGCCACAGATGCAGTCCTAGGGAGCACGTAGATGTTTTTACAGGTGAACCGAAAGAGATGGGAGCAATTCCAAAAAGTCTGCATGCTGCCTTTGGCAATATACCCTGTTATTGTGAAGATTGTGCTCTGTTAAGCAAATGTAAAGTTTAATATTAGATAAGCCTCGCATGAAAAATATTTTAATTTTCCTCAGTGTTAAATTTTAAGAAACAGGAAAGAGCGTCTAGTGCTTTATGTGCAATGTGAGTTTAGCATCACTAGTTAATAAGTCACAAATTATGTCAAGAGCCTTTTACAAAATGCAAGGAAGTGTGTTATCTTTTTATGCTGTGTTCCTGGGAAACAATGAGAGTTCATATAAAGAGAAGGTATCTTCCTTTCTCACGCAGCTGATTGATGTTATTTCTTTCATCTTTCCATATTTTTTCTCATCTTTTCTGCATGTCACAGGAAATAAGATTCTGTGTATTCAAAATATTACATGTAAGAAGGGCTTCGCTGGGCATTCGAGATATTGTTCTTGGAGCTTTTTCTAAAGCAGAGAGATGTGACACTGAACATGCCTCATTTCTGCTATGCAAAAAATTTAACGTCATGTATTTTAGTGTACGAAATACGGAATCTTCAGCCTTTGGTAGCGGGGCTTGCTTGGAGAATATAAGTTAAGAAAAGGGAAGGAATGTATGGGGAATTCAAAAGACTGTCGTGGCTAGACACTGATACATACGAGGCTGTGTTAACGAAGTACATTTTGGCCTTTATTTGATCACATCTCTGTAAATATTATAATCCCGACCATAAAATATTTTAATGCATTTTTGCTTTGCTGAATAAATGTTTCCCTAATGATTTAAGAGAGGGTTGTTTTTTTTCCCTAGTGTAAGCCTAAATGCATCTATGATTTCTTTGCCTTTCACATACACATATACTATCCTACCTACAATTAAGAGAAAGTTGTTATTTTGACCTTCGAATGTTTATTTACCAGTTTTATTTCTCTTTAAAAAGAAAAACTACAATTACAGTTTTTACATTGCAATTGAATTTTTTAATCCAAATTTTATACAATTTCTTGTTTTAACAATAAATCTTAAATAAGGAGTAGTTTCATCTTCTTTTGTAACATGTATCTCAATGCCCTAAATTTAATCAATTGGTTGTCAGAGGCTGTGTTCTTCTAATCTACTCTTTCTTCTGAAGATAAACAGTATCATTTTAGGCATTTGTGCAAGAGAATCATATTACTGGTGCTTAAGCAGTTTTTGCTTTTTTAAATCTTAATCCATCTTAAACCAGTGGAGCAGAAATATTTAAAAATGTTTCATTTCAAGCAGAGTGCATAATAAATTGCAATAATTGTAATGTGCCATAAATCCCAGAGCCTATGCATTTTGCATTTTATTCAGGATTGAGGTCAGGAAATTTGGAGAAATTTAAAGAAAATGATTCATCAGTCCTTTTGTTCTGTTGGCCAGGGTCCCAGGATTCTTGAGCTGAGCCCAGCTGACAAGCTTTTGAAGATGGCACAATAACAGTCCAGTGATGCCTGACCATGACAGCACAGCCCTCTTAAGCAGGCAAACCAAGAGAAGAAGAGTTGACATTGGAGTGAAAAGGACGGTAGGGACAGCATCTGCATTTTTTGCAAAGGCAAGAGCAACGTTTTTTAGTGCCATGAATCCCCAAGGTTCAGAGCAGGATGTCGAGTATTCAGTGGTGCAGCATGCAGATGGGGAAAAGTCAAATGTACTCCGCAAGCTGCTGAAGAGGGCGAACTCATATGAAGATGCCATGATGCCTTTTCCAGGAGCAACCATAATTTCCCAGCTGTTGAAAAATAACATGAACAAAAATGGTGGCACGGAGCCCAGTTTCCAAGCCAGCGGTCTCTCTAGTACAGGCTCAGAAGTACATCAGGAGGATGTATGCAGCAACTCTTCAAGAGACAGCCCCCAAGAGTGTCTTTCCCCTTTTGGCAGGCCGACTATGAGCCAGTTTGATGTGGATCGGTTATGCGACGAGCACCTGAGAGCTAAACGCGCCCGGGTTGAGAATATAATTCGGGGTATGAGCCATTCCCCCAGTGTGGCATTAAGGGGCAATGAAAACGAAAGAGAAATAGCTCCGCAGTCTGTGAGTCCCCGAGAAAGTTACAGAGAAAACAAACGCAAGCAAAAGCTGCCGCAACAGCAGCAGCAGAGTTTCCAGCAGCTGGTTTCAGCGAGGAAAGAGCAGAAGCGAGAGGAGCGCAGACAGCTGAAGCAGCAGCTGGAGGACATGCAGAAGCAGCTGCGCCAGCTGCAGGAGAAGTTCTACCAGATCTATGACAGCACCGACTCCGAAAATGATGAAGATGGCAACCTGTCTGAAGACAGCATGCGCTCCGAAACCATGGACGCGAGGGGCGGCGACTCCGTCGGCAGGTCGGACAACGAGATGTGCGAGCTGGACCCGGGGCAGTTCATCGACCGGGCCCGGGCCCTCATCCGAGAGCAGGAGATTGTGGAGAACAAGCCGAAAAGAGAAGGTCCCAAGGAGAAGGAGCAAGGGCCGAACGCCTTCCACCCCGAAGGCAAGCATTTGGCCGAGACGCTGAAGCAGGAGCTCAACACCGCCATGTCGCAAGTTGTGGACACGGTGGTCAAGGTGTTCTCCTCCAAGCCCTCCCGCCAGCTTCCTCAGGTCTTCCCGCCTCTCCAGATCCCGCAGGCGAGGTTCGCCGTCAACGGGGAGAACCACAACTTCCACACGGCCAACCAGCGCCTGCAGTGCTTTGGGGACGTCATCATTCCCAACCCCCTCGACACCTTCGGCAGCGTCCCCATGCCCGGCGCCACCGACCAAACCGAGGCGCTGCCCCTCGTCGTCCGCAAAAACTCCTCCGACCAATCCGCCTCGGCCCCGCCGTCCGGCGGCCATCACGCCTCCCTGCACCAGTCCCCGCTCTCCGCCACCGCCGGCTTCTCCACCTCCTCTTTCCGCCACCCTTTCCCGCTGCCCCTCATGGCCTACCCTTTCCAGAGCCCCCTGGGTGCCCCCTCGGCCTCCTTCCCGGGGAAAGAGCGCGCCTCCCCGGAATCCCTCGACCTGACCCGGGAGACTACCAGCCTGAGGACCAAGATGTCGTCGCACCACATGAACCACCACCCTTGCTCGCCGGCCCACCCCCCCAGCGCCGCCGAGGGCCTCTCCTTGTCCCTCATAAAGTCCGAGTGTGGAGACCTGCAAGACATGTCCGAAATCTCTCCCTACTCGGGAAGTGCAATATCCTTTTCGAAAGACGAGTGATAAGCTGGTGGTGGCTGGCGGGAGAGGATGAGGGGCCATGCCTGTACCCCGGGGCTTCCCCCGGGGGCTGGAGGAGTGGGGCAGTCATGGGGGAGCGGGTGGGGGGCTTGGCGAGGCCAAATAAAATGCTGAGTGTTGGCCAATGGCGCTCCTTCAGCAACAACTTTCACATAAAATAGCCACCTGCCCTCCCTAAGCCTTTTAGACCCTCCTGTGGGGTCAGAAACTGAGCCTGATGCTCGGGTGCTGATGGGTTTCTTGGGGGCCAGTGGGTCCTTCCCCAGGCAGGGAGGTGATGGAGGGGACATTGCCCTTACCCAAAAACCACGTCTGCCTCCTTTCCACGCCCTGCCAGGCCAACATGCCACCTGTGATAACAGTGTTGTGGCTGGGGCTCACAGAGAGCCACGGTCCAGTCATCACGAGCCTTCACCTCTCAAGCCCATAAGGGAAACGAAGCACAAAAGACACAGGTACTGATATATTCAGGCTGCATCAAGTTCTTTCCCCCACCCAGAGGTCTGTTCCTCAGCCCTTGTGCAGCTGCCTGCTATGCATGATTAACCTCTGTTCAGCCATACACAGAAATCTTTTGTCCTAACATACACAAAGCAAATTATTTTGGAAAGCTAGAGAGAACAATTAAATATAAAACTTCAGCTGTATTAAATTTACAGGACACTTCCCCTGCTTAAAAAAAAAGATGATAATAAAATATCTCTTTTTAGCTCAATAGCAGCCTTTAGCTAGGGAGAAAAATACATCTCTGCCTTTATTTAGGCATATCCAGACATAGTCATGATCTTTCTTTTTTCCTGGAAACTAGTACTAGAATTATTATTTTTTTCTTTTTTAGCAATAACACCTCCCACTCCTTGCATCTTTTCCCCTAATGTGCTTTTCGGTCAAAAGATTTTTCTTCCAAGTACAGTTGTATTGAAAGTGAACAAAATGCCACGTCTGCCCAATGCTAAAATTGAGGATTTTGAATGAAGGATAAATTGATGTTTTATCCCAGCTCCAAGACCCCAGCAGAAGGCAACAGCACAAGTGCGGAGCCTTAGATGCAGCTAATTTTGTTCCTCAGCTGATGAAAGTAATTGTGACCGAGTAACTCTGCCTCCCTCTGAATGATGGCAGTGATGCTGAGGAACTTGTCCCCTTTCCAGGGGTATCACTCGAAGGCGGATGCATGAGGCTCTGCCCCATCACTGGGTATGTTCTAGGCAATTAATAACTCTGTTGGATTTAGATAAATTTAATCATATTTCAGGTAGATGTGTTAAATCCTCAGGAGGGTGCTGGCAGGGCTTGCAACCCACTGGTTACCTGGACTTTCCATCCTTCCCTTGGCAGCAGACACCACTGGGATGAAGGCAAGTGCTGGAGGTCCAGAGCCCATCACCACCAACTTAACTTTGGTCAAGTCTGAGTCAAGAATTGCTGCTGCCTGACCTGTATGAAAAGTCCCATTTCTATACATGGGAGGGTTCCCCATTTGAGAGCAGCTTCCTTAGTTGTTAGTGTTTTAAAAAGCCAGCTGGTAATGGACATGACATTTGAGGGACCGCTTTGCCAAAAGAGGATCTCCATGTTGCATCAGTAGCAGGGAAATCTTCAGCTCACCATCGATGGCAAAACGGAGGAGTCGGTTTAATGCTGGCATCACGCACAGTTACTGCCAGTTACTTTTGGAGATCCAAAATGAAAATCTTGCGTATTGAAATGCAAGCTGTGATGCTCAGAAAGCACTCCTGAGGTCAACAGGAGTGGCAGCCGAGGGCAAGACTCAGGCCAGAGCAATTAAGTAATTTCTACCAAACAGTACAGTGGCATACTAATTGTTTTTGTATAAAAGTAGTTCTCCCATCCTGGGAGAGGAGCGATCAGAGCCGAAAAATGCCAAGCGTGTGAACTAGGAGCAGTTCTAGGGCTGCACGTGACCCTCTCCACCCGTGGAGCATCTCTCCCTCACCCCTGCCGTTTCTCGCCCTTTCTCCTGCCCGTTCTCACTGGCGGTCGCCAATGGAGCTGGTTGCTTCTGCCAAAACAGGGGTGTGAGAGTCCCCCGCCGCTCTGAGGCTTAGCCAGGGGAAGCGCCGGGTGCTACAGCCATTCCCTTCCTCCTCCCGTGCCCTGCTGCTGCCCCTGCCATTGAGAAAACACTCTGACTTTCCCACCTGGCCACTCTTGCAGGCTCCAGTTGGATCCGGGTGTAGATACAGACCAGTTGGGACAGGCACATTTATTAAATAGTGCTTTTGCAGAATGTGTACCCTGGTATATGGCTCAGCTGTGGGGATGGATCTTTTGTCCAGGGCAGGGCACAGTATGGATGTTGGTTTGTTTGTGGCCGATTCCGATGCGGTGCTTTGATTTTACGTGGTTGAATGTACACATATAGGGAATATATTTCTTGAGAGAAGCAGATCTTTCTTCCCCGCAGAAAGCAACATCTGTTTTCCTGGACAATACAGCCAGGATGAGAACATAAGACTAGCAGATACAGCCAAGTTCAGGTTTTACTAGTAAGCTAAAACAGTGAACTAGCCTGTTTTGGGGGTTTTTTTAGAGTTTTGTTCTTTCTTTTTTTTTTTTTTTTCACCAACGCCTGTTAAATGTATCTGAAAGTTCTTTGGTGAATTGCAGAAGGAAATGGTTAATGTTTGTGTATGTTGCTAAACAAGATAAGATGCACCTGCAGCATGAGTTCCCATCTTGGTCATGAATGCAGCCTGTATCTTTGCAAGCTAATCTGTTTAATCAAATATTAAGTTTTATTCAAATTCCAGAAGAAACAGACAGCGAATTGTTTTTCTGCACGGTCTTCCTTTGTCATGCATCCTCTTTGCATCTCAAGAAAAATAGCCTTGTTCAGTCCCAAAGCATTTGCATAGATCAAAATTGAAGCACAACAGTAGTTTGTGTGCTGTTAAGACATCTGTAAAGGTGAAGAAGTTTAGCACGCTCTCCCTGGCAGGAGGGCTTTAAAACGTTAGTGAAACTTTCTACAATTTTCTTTATTTTTAAACAGAATTCCTATCCAACTGGAATGAGTTTCACAGTCCCAATATGTGAAAGCTATAATTAGTGAATTACAACATTTTGAAATGAGGAGTTATTACATCTGACTAGAATTAAACTAATTAAACTTAAAAAAAAAAAAAAAAGCGCGATTGTACAGCAAACTGGATAACTCTGTGCTGTTGATAAAACCTGGGCGACGAACAAATACTTTCCAGCCAGCCCGTTCTTTGGAGGGTCTTGAAGATGCTCTGAGATAGAGCTATTTGGGGCTTTGCTGATTAAAAGCGCTGGAGGTGTAACTTAAGGAGCAGCTTGGCTTTGCTAGTGCAGATTTTTTACCTGATACAGCCTATTCTTACCTCTTTTCCTTTAGCTCAATACATGTGTGGGCTAGAAAAGCCTGTTAGATCATTTGTGGGAGCTCAGGCTGAGAGTAACAGGAGTGAAAGATCATCTCCACTGAAAAATGTTTTTGCAAAAGAGGAGCATTACCTGGGAGGATTGAAGTGCAAATGAGTCAAATGCTGTGCAATGCCACCCCTGTGCTTCCCCAGTTAAAACACACAGAAGTGTGCGTGTGTGTCATTCCCAGTCTTTCGCTTCTTATTTCTTAGTGTTTTGCCTTTTTGCTGCTGCGTTAGGTGAGGCTGCGATGTGCTGTGTAAACGCACAGCGCCCAGACTCTCAGGTTGTTTGAACACCGCTTTAGGTTCAGCTGCAGTACACTGTTCCTCTGATCTTTTATGTTCCTGAGCAGATGTCTTTCATTAATTTATGGATTTATCATCTTTTCTTTCTCTCCTTTTTTTTTTTTTTTCCTTCCTTTTTTTTTTTTTTTTTTTTTTTACACCTGGCAGCTGGCTCAAGTTTCAGCAGTTATTGTCTATTTTGCATTACCCATAGAATTGAATGTCATCTGTCTTCACAAAGCTATAGCTAAGAGAATTGAGGCAAGCCACACGAGCTGCTGGGACAGAGCTTGTTTGCGTTCCATTCGGCACCCCTCCTCCCTTTAACTCCTTAATATTTATTTGTGCTCGTTTTCTTTCCTGGCCTTGAATGGGGCTTAGCTCGTGTTCGGTACAGCTGTATGTTTACTGAATCTATTTCATCATGAGTCATTGTGCGTGTGTAAGTATCCTGGAAACAGCTAGTGCTTTCTTGGAAGAACAGTTGCTTTTCAGCCCAAGCACTTAAAAAGGAAATTAAGCAATTGGTCAGTTCGGGTTTTTTTTCTGAAATAGCAATGGGTTATCTAATTCTTAGCTCTTAAGTCTGTCATTAACTATTTTTTGCTAGATTATTACAGATCATATCTTTTATCACAGTAAAGCGTTAACCTTAGGATCAAGATAGACAGATTTGTTGCATATTTGATATCGATTTAAGGCTGCCAAGTGCTTAAGAACAAGTATAATTTTAATAAAAAATGGATTTCTGAGAATTTGAGTCTCAGAACATCTTTTAATACATGTTTCATTCAATATCAATATCCTCTGGCATTAGAGCACAAAATATTTAAAAATCCTAAATGCAGAAGGAATCCAAATGCTTAGACAACTGTCTAATATGCTTAAATCCAGCAAATATGAGAGCTTTTTTTGAAAGTTTAAGTCCGTCTTTGAGCTTGCACTGAAAGAGAATGTACGCCAAACCTGGTATTAACATGTTGTCAGCATCACAGCAATTGCAAATTAAGGAGACTTAGGGCTTTTTTTTTTTTACTTATTGGAGTCCCCCTTTGGACCCCCACTTTCCTGAAAGGATCGCATAACAAAATGGATTTCTGGCGTAGAAGTTTTGATTTGTCTAAAACTCTTATCACTAAGCAATAGGTGACAGCTTGCTACTATTATTTCACTTACGTATTTTGACAGATGGCACTGCAGAGTGTAATGCTCTTTTAGACTTCTCTATCAGTCTAATGGAGGTAACTGGAGGTTCTTTCAACTCTTCTCTTGGCACAAGAAGTATGTCAGTCATAAATTATCTTCTTTGTAATCATTAAGCATCTAAAACAAAGTGCAAGTTCAGCTGAGCCGTTTTCCATGTACTTGCAGATAATAAGAGGTTTTTAAACTAATATTGTCAATGACTTTTTTTTTTTTTTAAAAAATGCTACATTTTTCCAATCTGAAAACGAACCTTGTAACTGAAATAAAGGGAGAGGGTTTCAGTAGATTTCCCAAATAAAAGAAAAAGGAATTCTGTTGAAAAAAAAAAACCCTAGCTAATCATCAGTAGCCTGCTGATAAAAATTAGTGTGGGTCTCGAGGCCTGGGATGAGATGTTCTGTGCCGACGTGCGCCTGGCCGTAAGGTGGAAGAGGCACCTTGGCAGCAGCTCATCTGTCAACTTGGTTGACCTTCCCCCCACCGTAAGGTGTGAACCCAGCAGAAATTTTCAACAATTGTGTTCAGGAGAAACAGTCCTTAGAGAAGCTTCTGGGAAGGACCCTTAATTGACCTTGTGGGGGCCACATTGATTTTCTCCACGTGCATCTTCATTTCTGATAAATTATAAAGCCATTAATTTGCTGAGGAAATGGCAGGGCCAGCCTGCGGCACAGATGTGACCAGAGCCGTCCTAGCACGCAGTACACAAAAGAGAGCCAAGAAGCTGGGAGAAAAATCAGCAAGCCGAGATTGTTATGGTTAGCTTCACATTCCCTTGGGAACTCTTTTAGTTGCTTCTGTTTACAGATCTAAAAGGTAATGATGTTTCCAGGATAAATAGGCTGCCTTATAGGGTAAGTGGCCATTTATTGATCTGCTAGCCCACATTTATCGATCGGTTAGCCCCAAATACAGCGTCGTTCTCCGAGGAGTTAACTGTGTAAATCAGGAGGCGACAAGTTTTGGGGAGGGGGGGGGTGTTGAGCGACAGAGGGGCTCTGCCTGGTACAAATTTTGCTTTGATTTGCAAGGCAGCCACTGGAGCAAGGCAGCGGCAGGATTAGAGAGAGTTACTCAAGATGTTAAAATTTATCGACGCGGATGAAACAGGTGGAATGTAGTGTCTGTACAAAACATTGCTCAAAATGATAAAGGGCCTCCGGTTGTCTCACAGGCCTTTTGTGCAAGTGGCACAACACTGGGAGAAAAAAGAAACTTTGGCTGGAATTGGGAAGGAGAGGGAGAAAAAGCTTCCGATAAGTTTTCTGCGGCACACGTTCTTGGTGCATTTGTTTCCTTAGCAACAAGTGAACGTAGGTATGGTACACATGCCACAAACTTGCAAGATTCCCAAGACCCAGCACCAAAACTGATAGGAAAGACGGGGTTTAAGTTACATTGGCCTCACATCCCTCCTGTAGCTATTTCACAGAAAATTACAGCGCAGCAGTTTAAATGTTAGTATTTTCTTCTCTAGTCTGGGGAACTGAGAGTATTTAAGGGGGCACTTTGATAGCTCTGTACCTTCAGGAACAGCTTTCTCAAGAACAGCGTTTTCCTTTACTAATTCAATCCTACATGCAGGAAGGCTTGTCGCCGAATCACTTGAAAAAGGCCAAGCTCATGTTCTTTTACACCCGGTACCCAAGTTCCAATATGCTGAAAACCTACTTCTCAGATGTAAAGGTAAGAAAATTCTCTTTCCCCTCCCCCTGTCCTTACTGCATGCTGTATTTGCTCATGAAATGGTATCATGTTATCATATTAGAGATTAATAATATTTCTGGGTACACAAAGGTTACAGCTGACATTATTCACTTGTTCTTCCTGTTGAGGTGTACTCTGCTTGTGCCTAGGTGGGGAAAGGGGGAGTTTTTAAATAAAAAACAAAAAAAATCACTGAAATTTTAGAGCAAAGGAAGAATAATTATTGCCGTAAGTTAAATAGTTTTCATTATATATATCCTATTAAAAAAGGAGATTTCGGTGGTGTTAGAAATGTACTTCCAAGAACATTTTGGAGCAGTTCTGAAGTGCTCCCTTATTGTTTCATTTCGGTTGGTTTCCTCATTTTTGTGCTTACATAAGCAGAGTGTAGAATCCCTTTCTTTCTGTCAAAAAGAAACAGTACATTGAAATTCTCCATGCAGAAGCTGCTTAAAAACAAAAGTGATGATTGTCTCTTATTTACAACTTAATTTGTTGTTGATGCAGAGTACACTGAGCATAAGGAGGATGAATAAAGTGACAGATTCAGGCCACATTATTCAAATGAGGATATGAAAGCTGTCGACATACAGCTGCATCCTCCCTCATTCTACAGAATATTAGGACCTCCTGATTTTTTTTCTAAAAGTAATTGTTCC